ATAAGAGCTAAGCGCCAAAAAATGGTAAATTTTAACAAAATCCATTGTGTATAAAAATTAACGAGACATTTCAGTATAACTAATATCAAGCCATCAAGGTAACATAAAATGAAATACAAATTTACATTAACCTCATTCCTGGAGCTTAATTAAACACCGAAGCCCCAACGCCAAAGTTGAGAACACATGAAAATTTTGTTTTTGCTCTCCTGAAAAGTTGTAAAAATGTCGCTTGGCCCCTTTTGCCTTATACCAGTCGATATTAGCATAAGGAAACCCAAACATAAAATTCGATCTACATATGTCAATAGGCACCATGACTGTTCTATAACACTTCAAGCTATTTGTAATGCTAAGAAAAAATTTCTTGATGTTTTCACTGGGACCCCTGGAAAAATGCATGATGCACGGATTCTACAAATGTCATTTTTTTATAAAGACAAATATTTGAATCAAGTGTGTGGATCCAAGTATCATATATTAGCTGATTCTGCTTACCCTTTGGAAGAGAATATAATAACCCCATATAGAGATTATGGTAATCTTACTGTTACCGAAAAACAATTTAATAAAAATCATTCTAAAACAAGAGTTCTTAAAGAAAACACTTTCGGCCTTTGAAAAGAGCGTTTTCGTCAATTATTAAAATTGGATTTTGCATTGACTGAAAAAGATGCCAATGTTGTACGGGCTTGTTGTGTTTTACACAATATGTGTTCAGAGGAAGATGATTTTATAACTACAGAACTACCACAAGAAGAACCTCAAAATATAACATTAGCAGATTTAAATCCAAGATCTTTAGATGCCCGTACAAAAGGAATGGCAAAGCGCCAAATATTATCAAACTCATTGTAATTCATACATTTAATAGGAATGACACTTGTTTTATTATTAAATAAAGAAATAATACGTTAACTTATGTAGACAATTTATATAGGTAACGTACTAACATTTCACTTATTATTTAAAATAGCTTTAAGCAAGTCCATTTTTTCATTATGGCGCTTTTCACGATCTAGTTCACTTTGTTTTTTATTTTATTCCTTTTCTTTGTGCATAGCAATTAAAACATCTGTGACAGAAGTTTTAACTTTTTTGTTCGATACGTTTAGCACATCTTTCGGTGCAATAATGACGTCTTTTATTATTCGTTTAAGTCCAGAACTCGATGTACCTTTAAAAGAAAAAAATAAATATAAATTACTTTTATAAACTTAATTTTTTTAACACTCATCAAAATGCAATATCTATCATGTTTCAGTTTTTTTAATAACTTTCCAACTTGGACAGCTGGCTCAATAGAATCGTCCAATGAAGCAATTTTTGCAAACTCATCATCGACCATACTATAGTTAGGAGAAGATCCAGTAGTGTTGTTATTTTTGGTTGATGTTTTATTTCTTTTCAAAACTGTTTTGTATCTATTTTCTATTTGTACCTCTGTGAATGAGTAGTTAAATTTGTCCTCAATGTCATGTTTAATTTTTACCCACATACACTTTTTATTTTTAAATTTTTTCATCGGACCAATTTGTTCCATATATTGATGGTAACATTCCAACATAAAACTTGTATTTTCATCTGTCCAAGCACTTTTTGTAATATTCTCTGTAAACACAATAAAATGTATATTTTAAATAAGTTGTATTTATTAAATAGAACATAACAAGAGATAATATTATGACCAAATAAGCCAATATTTTAGCCCATATGTTAATCCCATCTGTTCACAGGACACTTATCCAGTTGAAGAATAGTCACAGAAGTCAAACATATATATGCATAATGTAAAATAAAAACCAGTTAAAGGCAATGCATTACTTGCAAGCAAGTTATTATTACTTTCTTTACTGTTTTGAGCCACAGACCTATTGAAGCATTACACAATTATAAGAATATTAAGATTCAAAATAACTTACACAGAGATTTCTTTAGTTAATTCATTACCTATTCAATAATAATATATTAATTATTAGTTATTACCTTTGTAAACCTGCTTCTTCAATATCGTCTAATGTATGAGATCTATACCAGTAGCACAAAATAAAAGTAATATATATTACAATATTTTTTTAATTGGAAGAAATATTAATTACTCAAAATTACTTTTTTTTGGTGTCGGTGCGTTGGCAAACATGATGTGTACTTGTATCAAAAATTTGAAAGCATTTAGGACAAACCTATACAATGTAAATAAATAAAAATATTAGTAACTATTGCCGTAAACAAGAAATAAAAATGCATTGTGGTTGTCAATGAAATTGAATTCAAGAGCTCTAGCAATATGGATACAAAAAACCGGTGTGTACCTACTAGTTGCGGTCATAATCAAAATTTACATACTAGTTGCGGTCACCCATCAAAAAGATTACATACTAGTTGCGGTCACTCAAATAATAATAACTAAGTATACTAAATAATATAATATAATATAGTTAATATAATAAATAATTAAATATGAAATTAATATTTCGTTTATTTATTTAATTTAGAAAAATGTACTAATCAACATTTTCCTTCCCATTTATATCGAAAAGATAAAAGACTTAGGACTGTATACACTATTATTTTTTGTGTAGGTATGGTTAAAAATGTTGATACTTATGTTTAAATTACGTGGTTAAACTTGTGTCAAAATATAGTATATAATAGTAAACTTGTGTCAAAATATAATATATAATAGTATAATAATAATAATAATTTAAAATTTTAAAATTTTGTAGGTATAAATTTAAAGGAAATCGACTTTCAATATTCAAGCCGATTTAAAAAACCTTCTTCATAATATTATATTTGTTGCGCAAAAATATGCTCTTTTTCTATTGAAATTTTATTAACACGACTGGTTTTTGTACAATTCATTTTTAAATAGCCATTCGTTTGAATTTCATTTAAAGCGTCAATAAATATAAAAATAGGCAAATATACGCTATGTGCATTTTATACAGCTATGATAAGCTATGACCGCAACTAAGATATTACCTAAATTGGCGTGACCGCAACTGTTATATCTGTTTATCTCAAAAATCGTCATGACCGCAACTAGTATGCAGCCCAAAAACTTCACAATCATCATTTTTCAGTACACGAGTACACCAACTATTTAAATTATACACTAAGTATGCGCCTCTAAATGACTCCATCATAATAGACTTTATGCCTTTATGTGACATATAAAGCTCTGATTACTAATCTGATATAACATAATAAATTAATTGGGATAGATGATTAATAATAATTTAAAACTCTACCTACTTATGAAAACTACTTACGTCAAATGTTTCAACATCGGAATCGGATGACATTCTATACTGTTTGACTGTTGTAGCTTGTAAGTGTTTATTCCGCTAACAAAATATAAAAAAAATTTACAAATATACAAATTATTAAAATTATACCAATGCTTTAAATAGTATTATAAATATTAAATACTAAATCGTGTTCATCAATGATTATACCTATTTCCAAAATCCGGTAATTGTATTTCTTTCCATGTCAACATATTTTGTTTTCTATGATTACACTTATTTGTATTCGATTTATTAAAAACTAGTACAACACTCGCGTAGTAGTAGTGGAATTTCCGTGCACACTATTTTGTCAAATCGAAAACGCTATTACTCATCTGTAGCTTATTTTTCGTTCGTTGTCCTTTGTGAACATCAGTCTGCGATTTTTGTGTATCATTGTTATATTTTGAATATCTTCTAGTAATTATCGTTCTCGCATTTTTATTTTCCCCCATTAAATTGAATGTCCCCGGTATAATGTTTTTGTCGAAATTGGTAGCAGTATTGTTTGTGATTCAACGTATTTTGTGGTACCTTATGGCGAGGAGGCATTAGTGCCAACTGTCAACATAGTCTTAATCTCCTCTCTTCTTTAACAGTTGTTGACATAAATTATACTTGTTATTTTATTGAATTAGTTTTGTGTTTAATTATTCGAGAATTACCTGAAGGATAACTATCCACATCCATAATGAATTCAATCGAGAAAAATTAAATTTAAGGTAAATGATGGTGTACGGGCCGGCTGAGTATAATAATAATACGCGCGTGCCGGTCACCTCATACTTCTTATACCACTACACTACACCGACCGACCTGTGTTTGTGTGTGTATTATGTAAAGCACGTACGTGAATTTGGCCCCACCATGTTATGATAAAAACACCAATATTTTGCAACATTTTGCAACTAATTTGCAACTTTAGGCAACCGGTAAAAAAAATTTGCAACCTTATATTTTTGTCCTAATCG